ATCTAAAAAGGGGCACTCTCCGCTGTGCCAGCGTGTAACGCCAGCAGTGAATGGCAAGGGTGAGGAAAGCTAATGTTGACCTTTCCAGGCCAGCAGCAAAGCACAAACCCAGCAGTCTGTTTAACTGGGTACTGGCAGAAAGAGCAGCTGCTGATTTCCAGTTTCATCTGAAAAAACAACCACATGTGTGACACGTGAGGGCCAGTAAACTCTTCTCATCACACTAAGGAGTCTCATTTATATGTCTTTCTGTTGCATGCTTCCATGCATATATTCTCACATTTCAGGTAGATTCTCAGCCGCAATTCAGGGAAGAGAATTCCTGAATATACATATTTTTTTCCACTCCTTTTGTTTTCCTCCAGTTTTCTCTTCTACCCCTAAAAAAAAATCACAAAGTTTCTGACATAAAGGCACAAACCAGCAGGCTCAGTGAGGTAGCTTGATTGCTGTCATTTATGTCTCTTGCTTTTCCGGGGCCCAGGACTTCACCACACTAGGTGCTGTAGAAACACAAGCAGAAAGGACAGCCCCTGCTCCAGACCCTGTCAGAGAGGCACTAAGGGGTTGTGGGCAGATAGCTGGAGCATGAATGGAAGCCATGAGACCACGTTGGCCAGTACATCAGGCAGTAAGCAGCTTAAACGCTGACAGGATTTTTGCAAACTCAATGGTAAATGAGCTTGCTTGACTCTGGGGTCTCTGGTCAGGCCAATGAATTGCAATAGAGAACTCAGGTCTATTTATTAAACTCAACAGTCCCACAGAGTGTCCTTGCTGACATCGGTCTGCTGAGCTGGAATCCTTTACCTTGAACGTATCATTTCAAGGTAGCCCAAATTATGGAGGGCTTCCTCAGGGACATCCTTGGGAAGCAACAACACAGCACCCACATTAAACCCAGTAATCTCAGAAACAGCAGCCACTGACTTTGGAAGAACTGTTGATTGTGAGGCACCTCGGAAAACTATGCTTGTCTTAGCAAGTTTTGAGTTAGGCCATCATGGCTGTCCTTGCTCTGAAAGGATACACAAATTCCAGACTGAAACAAGGTGGTATTTCTCTCTCTTTTTTTTTTTTTTTTTTTTTTTTTATCTTTTCTTTTCTTCTTTTCAAAACTTGTATGCACAGGGGTCCCTGTGCTCTTGAGGCCACACAAAAATGACACACAATGCCATGTGAGTTCTTCATATTCTAGAGAAAACATTTATTCAGGCCTCAAAGTGGAGGGAGGATGATGGAATGAAAGGAAGTGCAAAAAATAACTCTCCATTTTATGTAACTGCAAATTTTAACCAAATAAATGCAACCTATTTTCAGTACATGTTTTATCTTACATGGTGAAATGAAAATGATTCTATCAAATATTTTCTAAAAAGTTATTCAGACTACAAACAAAAAAATATAACAGAACTGGAAATGAACTAAACTAAATCACCTGCAAAACTTCTCTTTATTTCTATGGGAAGCACAGCAACTGGAATGGGCTTTAAGCATAACAGCTCACACAAAAGGTAGAGTGCTGCTTTGTTAATGGAATTGCACTTTGGATCATGAGCCGAATGGATGCAATTTTATGTGAACTGCACACACGAAAAATTCCCTCAATAAACATATGGAACATGAGGCTTCTTTTCTCCTTACTTTAACTAGGCAGCAGGGAAACATTACAACCAAAGAGTAGATATCAGCATTAGAAGACTTATAGGATTGCTTAAATGGGAGTTCAAAATAAAAGAGAAGGCAGACAAAATAATTGAGCAACATAAGCTATTATCATTTTCCTTATAGGTTTTCTCTTCTTTCAGCAAGTACTAACCTGGACACACACACATTTTTGAAATCATATTTTCTGTTCAACTATGGAAGTCTTTTCTAGATGCATTAAAAGAATACTATATCCTTTAGAGTCGACTTCAAGAGGTAGATGTCTTTGAGAAGGAAAGCATATTTATAACAAAGGAGCATAATACCTGAATAAAGAGACACAAAGCAGGGCTTTGTGGTTTTCAGTGATTTTTTTTTTCAGATGGAAGATAATTAACTAGAAACCACTGGCATTAACGATATTGGACTTGTATTACTTTCCTTGCTTTGGAGGCTGGATTTGACAGCACACTTAAGAGCTTTTCAGAAAACTCCCGTTGATAAACTATTAGACTTAAATCCACATCCTGTTTTCAGTTAACTATTCTCATCGGATCATCTTTTAAGTAGTCCCAGCTTGCAACCCTGCTGGCAGTGACTATTTGTTTTTAAGAGAACATTTCTTTTTAAAACTTACCTGGCACTAAGGTGCTCATTATGTTGGAAATCATAGGAAACAAGGACAGCAGTTCTGGACCTGGGAAACACTGGCTGTCTTTGCTCTCCTGCTTCCCAGTGCCAGGCCTCATGGGGATGATTGCAGCATGATCCTTAAACCCATGTCTTTGTCCATCGAGCCTTGTGAGGAAGGCTTTCAACATCACCAAAGCTTGCTGAGAGATAATAACTCATTCAAAGACAAAGTGCAGCAGCTTCCAGAGATAGATTTTCTTCACAAAAGTTACACAGATACTCAAAGTGCTGCTTTATCGCTGTTTGGAGAGGGGAAAAAAAAAAAAAAACACCTTTCAACTGCTGCAGTTCCAAACCCTCCATCTAGAATTCCCCGGAGAATTAATACTTTACTGCAAAGTTAACTTTTTACTGCCCTTCCCTAGCTCCAAGCTGCAATTTCAGTTTGTCACAAAGGTCTGCCTGGAATGGCTTCTGGTTTGTTCCTTCTACTATGATTGCAAATTTGTTAAAACCTCCAAGACTTCCCAGTAGGGAACGTGAAGGGTGGTACAGGTGTGTAAAATGCTAGCATCCACAACCTGACAACCCAGATGGGTAATTTAATATTACAACCACATGGCTCTCAAGAGTAAATCTTGTATTTCCATAATGAATGTTTTCAAAATCTTTAAATTATGCAAAAGAAGTCTATTCTGTCTCTCTAAATGCTAAGAACTCAAGCCAAATAATTGGAAGCTATTGATTATTGCTGAAACCTCCACACTTTCAGCAGCACTGACATGCATGCACCATGTAACGCAGCTATGAATACCAACAGCCATAGTCTGCCTTGCTTGTTCATAGGGTCTTAATTGCAACAGACCACACGGACCTCACGTACTTAATCATCCCGATAAATTCTTATTGCATGAATCATCTTATGGATTACCTTTCAGTGCTTGTTCTGATCAGAGGCACAGCCACACTCTGCCAGTCACTCACCAGCAGATTTCTCATCCCAGTCCCTGTGTTCTTGTGGTTTCCAGCAACATGGGGTTTGCAGAGCAATCAATGGCTGTAATGATGCTGAAATGACTTTATTTGCACCTGTCTCACTTTGCCTCTGACACCAAAGAAGGTGTCAAACCCTTAGCAAAATGGTACTCTCTAAGAAGTCCAGAAATAACAAGGCTATTCCATGCTCTGTTCCATACTAGAGTTTTGTTTTTTTTTGTATAACCCAGCTTCTAAAAAGTTTCAGAAAAAGTTCATACTACAGTGACCTGCAGCTAGGCAAGTCTGCTAAAATTTTAATCATGGATTTCCAGACTGTACACGGTACGCTGGAAACAATCTGGGAAATCCTAAAACAACCTTTAAATACAATCACCAGGAGAAGTTTACTTGCTACTGTTAAGAAAATCTTGACCTCACTGAAATGGCATTATCTTAGCTGAACAACCATCTCACAGTCTTTCTTCTTCCCAGAAAGACTGCTTTTACTTGGCAACATTTTATTTTTTAGTTTTTACCAGGAAAATGTGAGGACTCCAAAATTCTATATAAGCTTAAAGTACAGGGTGATCTTTGTGTCCTATGGTTGCAAAATATATCATTTTCTCATCATTTTAATGAGAATTAATTCATACTGAGTAGACACATTGTACAAAAGACATAATGCAAGCATGCACGAGTGATTAGGAATGTTGCCTCATTTCATAAATACATTGTAATTAAACAAATGTCAGCAGTTCAGTCTTGTGCAGAGATGATCTGACAGCCGGTGAGAATCTCAATTGCACAGTTCAAGGTAATTCTGGGATCTTGTTATTGTTTGCAGTATAATTTTTTTCTTTATGCATTTTACTCTAACAACCTCTTAGCGAAATTGTACTCGTCTTCAATAAACATCAGCTCTAATAGGCATGGACGTATCATTATGAAGTCTTGTTCTGCATCACAAGAGAACAAGGTGAGGTAATCTTATTGACCACTTTCCAGACTAGAGGCCCAGTTAAAACACCAATGCTTCTGAAGATATTCAAGTCACAGTCTAAAATATTCACTGTCAGCTGGTTCTCAGGGCAGCTCTGTCCCCAGAGGGAGAGCAGTCTTTGCTGACCTGCTTTAAATTCTTCAGCTCGTTGAAGCTGGCAGATCACAGGAACTCTAACAAAAAGCCATATTCCAGCACTATCAGACATCAAGTGAGAAATGACCACAATACCTTTACACAATGTGATTCTCAATTACACAGGACAGCAAGGCTTTGAGTCTCCATGGCTGTTAATGCAAGAATTCACATAGGCCAACCGGCAGAACAGCAGAGCACGATCAAACTGCATCCACAGTAATATCCTGTGTTGCACACCAACCAGCAAGATGCATTTTTATGTTGCTGCTTAGGATATCCAGACTCCAAAGACGCAAGGAAAGACCAAGCAAGACCCTACTCACTCGCTAGCTCTGCAAGCAGGACCTTCTCTTCTTCCTCTTTCATCTTCATGTTCAGACCCAGAAGTCCCCACTCATAACTGGAGAAAATCTCTTCCTTGCCTGACCCTCACCTTGCTATCAGCTCCATTCCCTTGCACATTGGTTGTTAATCATAGGGCAATACAAACGAGATCTAGATAAGCCTGACAGAAAAGCCCATGCCCAAATCCCTCTTTCCTTTTATCACAGTAGTTTGAAATTTTTAACAATAGTAAGACATCCAGCAGAGAAAGGACTTGGTATATAACAGCATTTTTTTTATTATTATTTTTTTTTAACCAGGAACATGAGAGTTAAATCATTCCAGGCAACCAGCAGCATTTTTTTTTCTGAGCAATGGCTCAATATAACCATTAGAGAGTCTGGATATACAGGGAGCAGTGAAGCTCTGTGCTGCCGTATGGTGCCCATCATATTTGTCTCCTCCTGTGCTCGACTTTCTTGTGCAGATAAAAGAACAGTTAGCAGCTCTTTGTTATATAAATGTCAGCCAAGGCAAACAGAGTGGAAAGTTGGTGGTCAGGTGTAGGTGGTAGAACATTGCTAAAAAAGATTAGGTACCTGACAAAGGAATGGTATTTACCAGCTGCATAAGGTGTTGGGGAGAGGTATTGTTCTCACAAAAATGGCTTGAAACAGGTTCCTTTTGTTTCCCCCAGGCTTTTCAGCTTGGCAGGAAAGGAACCCACTGATCTCCACAAGACAAAGAAGATCCTTGAAATATTTTGAAGCTTGGCTGAACCCTCAGAACCTCTTCCACAGTATTGCTGAGCGATGCTTTTGTGCTGAGATCAAAATTGCAGAAGCACAGCTTTCTTACAGGAAGTAAAATCGGTCACGACTGACTCAAGCATCCTACCAAACTCCCCAGTTTCTCTGAAGAAGATTTATCAAGTGTTTGTAATTATAAGTTGCCTACACTGCAAATCGCTCCAGAAGACAGTGGAGCTCAAATGCCTGCTCTCAATGTCACAAGTCTCCAATGAATTGCGAGAAACTTCAAGCACCTTCTGTGCAGGCCTTCAGGCAGGATAAATTACAATTGTTCCCTCCAGACTGTGTAGCTATGCTGATTTACATTATAGGAAGATCTGCTCTCTTGCATGTGACAAGTTTAAAGGGAAAAATAGATCGTCTTACATGCCCCTTATCTTTGTCTGAACTCTCCAGTTAAAATACATTCTTTGATTACATCTTAGAGTCTGGTTTGAGTTTGTTTATTTGGTCATGCTCTGTCCTCTTTTATGAATGTGCAGCAATGGCAACTGCAGAATCACTGCAGTGGGGAGCAGGTAAGAGCTGCTGAGTGCTTCTGTGTCCTGTGGTTTTGCTAAGGACCTCTTTTTCTGTGTAGTGTGACATACCCTCCTCTGTCTATGGGCTAACAGCCCAGTTCTTTGCAAGTAGTCAAGCAGTGCGCATACGCATCCAGGACAGGTTTTACACTAGCTCAAAAATAGGACCAGTGTAAGGACTGCAGCAATGTGTGTTTGCAGCTCAAGTCATGCGTGCGCGTTGTATAACTGCTTGGGATTCTGCATATAGAAAATGCAAGCATCAGTTCTTTTTTGAATGGGCGTCTCTGGGGACCAGCCATTTCACATCCCGGATAGACTGTTCACTAGTGGGCCAGCGCATCTTTGATCAACGGGTCACATTTCTTCTTTACATGTCGTTTAATTCCTTACCACGGATTATGATTGCCCAAAATCCGATATAAAAAGAATGCGTTTGCATAAACATGAACGCTTGAATAAGTACCTCAATAACATCAGGCGTCAACTCCTCACCATGAGGATAGCTGGTAACTAATTAAAAGCTTGAATGAACAGATGAGCCAGAAACCATCCTCACGCTTTGTTGAACAGGCTCAGGCATCAGGCTGTGTAAGGGAAGCTTTGATCCCAAGTGCTCCAGTACTAGACGGAGGCAGCTCATCCCTGGAGAAAACAAGAGCACAACACTCAGATCCAGCCCCTTATCATGCCGACAAGCTCTGACAATCCCCTGGAGATGTGGAAGGGCCTTCCCAGCCTGAAAAGGGGCAATCTGAGTCTTGGGTGTTACCAGAGCCAGCATCCTGCTCTGCTGAGCCAAGCTCCAGAGCAGTCCTTTAGGACTACATGGCACTGGGAGGAAGGCAAAGCATCTCTTTAGTTTTCCAAAGTTCCACTGTGGAGAAACACAAGGTTCCTGTTTGGCTGCAGCAACTCTGCACAAGCTGCCACCAACAGAGGTGAAGGTCTGGCCCTACAAGCCCCGATTCCATGATCATCATATTTTTGCTGCTCTTTGACGCTGCTTTTACGTCAGTCCTTCTTAAAGATCATTGAAGCATGACACTTACATTTAAATGACTGGTTTGGCAGGCAGAGGCCAGCATAGGTGTTGCTGCGTGCCATACAAGCTTGTGCTTAGATACTATGTGGCAAAAACTCAACCTGAGGCTCATTCACCTCTTATTCTAATTAGCAATCTGTGGGCTGTCTGCACATGCCAGGAATCACACTTCACATCACAACACAAACCTAGCCTAGAGTCCACACAGGAGGGGTTGTACCAATTTTAATTAAACCGGTCTCCAGAACAACTTGACTACATTTCTTGTGTAGGCATGCCCGAGAAGCAAATGGATTGTAAAACTACTTGTTCTCATTTATTATCAATTTCATGAAAACAATTGTTCTTAAGCCCTAACTTCAGGAATCATGTTATTGACCAGGAAATTCAACTTTTATATTTGTTGTAATCCTTTGTTTCAAAGAAAGGCCAAAAAAAATAAGATATTCTTGAGTTCCATAATTACTCAAACTTACAAGCAAATTATCCAACACGAATTGTTTCTCCTTTTAAGAAGTAATTATTTATATGCCAGTCCCATGATGTACAGGAGCTGTGCCCAGTATTGTTGGAACATGTAGGTAAGCAGGATGAAACTAGAATAAAAAGGAAAGAATGCCCCCACACTGGGCATCCCTCACAAGGAGGCTGAAATCCCTCCCTACTAAACATGATGACCAAAAACCATCCTGGAAACATCTGTGGTACAACCAGCCACAAGTGCGGTGTCTCTATGGCCCAGGGACATCAAGGCTGAGCTTGTAAAAGGGCTCCTACCTCCTGGTAGGGCTGCTGCCTGCCCACGTGCTCCTGTAATTCCTCCTCCCTATGAGCTCGCCCTCATGCTGAATGGACACTAACCCTGTACTGGACAGAGGGAAGAGCATCCTGCCTGGCAACAGTGAAGTACCTGCCATCCCACTCCGAGACTGCTAGCACAGAGTTAACAATATCTGTTTGAGCTGAGAGTGTTTATGCTTCAGCAGTTCCATTAATAGGTATTAAATAATGCTCCTTTAAGCTACAATGCTGCTGCATAGGGTTTCAGCTTCATCTTTATGGATGCCTTGTCATAATTTCTAGAATTATAGAACTTCCTGCCATGCACCTACATATATCTGCAAGGTTACAAAATAGACAAAGATTATTTTTTTCTGCCCAGAACTAGCAGAAATGACTTTTCATTAATCAGGATCAGACGAGATGAAATTAAATCAATTCTTCTCCCTAAAGTTTGAGATACTCAAAGAGGGAGAAACCAACTCTTCACAACCCTCAGCTCAGGATCTGTAAAGTGAAAACCCAGCTCTGAGTACATTGCTTCTGGAAGGAATTGCCACAAGAAATAGGCCCCAGCTACTTACCACCTCTTTCTGCCACCTTTCCCTCTTTATGCACACATAAACACACACATGCATGCTCTTTTATGCAAACTAAGTCTCCAAAACTTGCCCTGGCTCGACACCTTCCAGCAGGAGAATCAGAATGTCCTTGGCAAATCCAAACCTACAAGATGCTCTATTCAAGGTCCTTTAATCTAGCAATTTGAGAAGTACACAGTCTGCCTTTTCATGCCTTCAACTTCAAACTTTTACAATCTTCTGAAAAGCCATTATATTGAATTCATTATTCTCTTGCTCACATGCTGCAGGGAAGGGGAAGTTGATGCTTCACATTCAGGCTCCTACAGACCTGAAGGTTGCTCTCAAGGCCTCTTCATGTACCTATTATTATTTCATTACCCTTGTACATAACTGCCTCAGTCTTCAGTGTATCTGTCTTTATCAGGAACTTGTGAAGCCACTATCCCCACTGACTTTAAAAGGACTTAAATGCCTAAATACCACTTTGTCCTCAGCCCCCAAATATAAGTGCTGTGTTTCCAGAAGAAATATTCTCACAGAGCTGGGAATGCAAATCCCAAACTCAGGACCAACTGTAAAATGTTGGAGCACATGGATCTTCTTCCTGCCCAATGAAAAGAAATTCTGTGGCCACAAAGCACTTCAGAGTGCAACAAATAATTCCTGAGACACCTATGATAAACTATACTGCCAGATGATTCTCCCCTCCCCTCTTTATGTCATTCACTTATTCCCAAATACTCAACCACAGTCTAGACAATGTGTTTTTTTCTTCTGCCTAGCACATGAGCCAGTCTCATTAAGAGTCATGTCTGACAAGACCATCCAGGATATACTGTCTCCCACATTCATTCAGACAATCCCAAATTTACCCAGAGTAGGTGATGAGGAGGCGTATCTCCCATATGTGGCAAAAAATAAAATAAAATAAAATGTTGTGGACTATTGAGATGTAGGTGTGGGAGATGTACTTGTGCCTGAGCAGGACAGAAAAAAAAATAGGCTTCATTGTATTAATGCAAAATTCAGATGGCATACTCAGTTCAGGATTTCCACTGACCCAGAAACTCAGCTTAGATCTCTTAGGCATCACTTCTGGTGTTTGTATGTGTGAATCATCCAGAGCAGAGCAGGGGGCTGGAGAAAAGCCATGAGTCTGCTGCTGCTCATGCTGAAATCAATGGATGTTTTGGTAAAAATCTCTCTGAGAATCCCTGAGCACAGCGAGATGCTGTTTGCATTCCCAGAGACGGCATGCTCCATGCTCAGCAAGGCTTCCTGAGCACCTGTCCTCATACCCATTTATCTCTAGCTGACATTTGAGGGAGGCTTTTAATGCTGTTAGAGCCTATTCTGCCCAGCCCAGAAGCATCCAGTACAGTTCTCAGAGTCTTCCACATGATAGATGGGAAACTTGAAAAAACATGGGGGAGGCACATCGGAGCCCAATAAAACTAGATGACATCCTCTGCTCTGCAGAGGCCAAGACAGATTTCTGACTGAGCTCAAGCAGCAAACCGCTATGATAAAGGAGCTAAAGCAAGAGGTTATGATATGCTTGAATCACTCCAGAGAAAGCAAGTGCTGTGTGTAACTAGGGAGATAAATAATCAGGCAGACAGAGTAGCACTGCCCCCTCACTCACTTAAATCAAAGCAGCTTCTTTTGCCACTGCTCCTCCCACTTGGAACACACAGCAGGGAAGTTTAAAAGTTGGCCTTGGCAGGAAAAAAAATAGGGAAGTTCAATTCTGAGGCTGGGAGGTAAGCTCGCAGGAAAGAGATGCCCGTGCAGTTGTGCTAACAAGGGGTCCTGCAGCCATGCTCCCCTAGATGCAGGAGGCACAGCCAAAGTCAGCAGATATTTGCAGCTGGTTTCTCACAGAGCTACACAATGCCTGCAAACATTCACTGCCCTCACACAGACCTTGGCTTGGGGGATAAGCAGAGCCAGGCTGCCATCTCCCCAGGGTTTATATGGTCATGACCAGCACACAGAAGCTAAAATACAGCAGCAAGCTCCACGCAGGCATGCTTGGTGCAAGCCGTTTTTTTTGAGATGCCCATGGCAAGATGTCTGATTCGTTGGTTGGATCTGGCCTTTAACTGACTGAAGCTGCTGTTCAGCAGCCTGAATCTGACCCTCAGTGGGATTTACATTCTGCCTGAAAAGCTGTGCATTGAAATCAGAGGGCCGTGTGAGTATGTCCAAGGTCAGCTTTCCCTGTAAGTAATACATTGCACCTCAAAAGCAACTGCATGTTGCTGACAATTATTTGAGAAGGTAATTGAACTCAGCTGTTTCAAATGTGATTTCCATAGGATGTGCCCTGTACTTTTATCCCAAGTTGAAAAAAAAGAATAAATAATCCTGTTTTAACCTTGACTTGACATGGCACTTGCTATGCAAACACCCTGCCTACAGACTCCAAGGTGGAAAGAATGTGACACTCCAGCACATGGGAAGAGCTGCTATTTGATATTTCTGCCCTTTAGCTCCCAGCATCCAAAAGCCATCTAAAAGCTCACAAAGCAGGTAAAAACTTGACAAGAAAAATCTGCTTTGGTCTCCCACTGCATTCATGAGAGGGAAGACTGAAAACTGCACTTCTCACACTTAACGGTAGAAGAAAGATTTTCAACTCTTTTGCATCATCTTGTTGGTATTTGAAGCCAGCTCACCTGATGTACCTGAGAATAAGGATTTTTTAAATTATTATATATACATATATTATTATTAATGTACTAATATTAATATTAATTATGTAATTTATGTATTAATATTAAAGTTTTTAAAAATGCATCCTCCACATAACACGCATGGTTGAGGAGGACTAGCTGTGAGAGAGAAATTGTGTTCTTCAAATGCTGCAGAAAGATCACAGCAAGAACACCAAGGAATGGGAAAAAATATCCACACATACAGGACTCCAGTGAGCAACCTACCTGTGGGCCTGTGTGCTCCCACAATTCTCACCATCACAGGGTCACAACCTTCAGTGAGTTTACTCCTGCAAGTTACTGAAGTGACGTTTTACTCCACCTGGAAGCAAAATTTTGTGGCAGGTCTGAGAGATAAACCCTGCTCTAAGATAGCTTAGCTATCTGAGCATCCTAGAGAAAGCAGTCTGGAAACAGGAAAAATAAATATAACTAAAAGGATGACCAAAAAATCAACATTATAATTCCATAATTCCAAATAACTCCAATAAAATAATTTTACCACAAAATAATTCCAAAAGTATCAGCAACAAACTGGGGGCACAGCTTCCATAGTAATAGTAAAGGAAAACACACGTGGCATGATTGCAGAAAAAGAGGTAAGGGACCAGTTAGGCTCAGCATCATGGAAAGCACTGACACAAGGCACAAAGGCAGTGATGGGACAAAAACTTCAACATTTGCATGAAGTCGTATTTAAACATTCAGCTAGCTTTGATCTGTTGCCCTTGCAGAGAAGACATTCTTAGGAGTTCTGATCTAATCCCTGTAAGCTGCTCTGTTTACCCTGCTACGTGCCTACTACCTCACTGTTTCACTGTCTCTTTGCAAAAAAAAAAAAAAAAAAAAAAAAAAAAAAGCAGTCACCATGCACATTTGGGTGTATGTGTGTCCACGAGCACAGTGTTGTTCATAAAAGACAAATGTGTACATGCTTTTCATATCTGTAACCAGATCATTAATACACAGGACAGAAACCTTATGTCCTTTTCATCTTCCCCTGTGCTTTTGTCTGATTTCAGCAGAACCATTCCAGAATTAAATACTGTTCATTGTAAGGGAGAATGGAAAACGTCAACTCCGAGCGTGCAAATATCCACTCAGAATACACCAAGGGATTCAGCAAGTCTCTACATATGCTTCCTCTCAGAATGCAGGTGTAAGATTTAAAAATCCATATTTTTCTCCAATCAACTTAAAAACAGCTATAATATCGAGTACCAAAAGCACCATCTGTGCTCCACATATAGTGGTGATGTTTTTTTTTGGAGCTGATGCTGTTTCTTGGTATAGCTTGATCCTATTTTGTCAATCGCTTCATGAAAAGTGCAAAGAACCCCTGTTGTTCCAAATGTGTCTGAAACAAGATGCTTTAACAAGTACATACACCAGCTTTTTGCTTCTTTAAGGCATTATAGTGTTGACTCACATACATAGTAGCATTTTAAATTGTAGAAGTGTTAAATCCAGACACTGACGTGCTCCACACACGTTGGTGCCAGTTGACTGGAGATTGTCGTGGCCGGCACGAAACACGAATTGCTTGCTGAAGAAGCTGAAAAATGCAAGTGCTTACAAAGCTTTAATTTCTGTGCTGTGCAGGCAGCACCTCCTAGATGGCCACCTCCCCTTTACTGCATCCACCACTGATACCCCTCTCAAGAAAGCCCAGCTGTCTGATGTTCACTGGTGCCAAAGCTTCTCTGAAGCCCACCATGGACTTTGCTGTTGCCGGTGTGTCTTGACTAGCTCATAGTCAGGGTCCTCAGTGATGGACATTCAAAGAAGTCTGACAGACCCTTATCTGGTGTTCCCCTCCCTCACTTTTCCTCTGCTATAAACTACAGCTTAACTCTGGATCTGCTGCCTCTCCTCAGAACTGTATTAATGCTATTCCTTTTACCTGCCTTATTTAGAGTAATGTCAGTGCCCACCATCCTTCCTGGAGGTGCTGCAGGTATTTCTCCATGCCAAATGTGGCAGTAAGGGCATGGGTATCAACTTTAGATCTGCAGCTACCAATCTGATATTTGGTATTTGCTTTGACTCTTAAGCCATCATGTGGTCAGAAAGCCACTCTATAAGCAGCACCAATGCAGACCTTCTCCACTCTGTACCTTTGTATATGACCCCTGCTCCTTTTTCAATTCCTTCCTTTCTCTATTTCCTTCTTTTGTGCCTCATAATGTCTGTAGGCAGAAACCTTACCAAATGTTTCTTTACAGATGGTTTCCATTTAAGTCTTCAAGTAGTTATTCTCAGGGAAAACACTGATAAGTAAAAGATAAAAAATATGAAAGAAAGATATTGTAAGTGAGAATCCAGGTTACAACAGGGCACAGAAACAGTATTTCACCAAAAAGTTCCCCAAAAAATATATTCCCAGAAAGAAAGAGAAACTCTAAGCAAGTTCCTTCAGCAATGCAAACCTGAGTTCCCTTGTCATCCTGTGGTTGGCTTCCTTTTGCTTCCTCGCTTTTATCTTTCCAGTGGAGCACAGCTTCATGTCTGCAACTTTATTTCTAGCAGAAATGCTGTATCTCAGCCAGACCTGTGTCCTGCTCTGTAGATAATGTCTCTTCCTCCACCACCCATAATATTTTTAACCTGGATGAACCAGATGGCTACCATCACATAACCTATCATCATATCATCAGATAACGTAGCAAGGGAGCTCTTTTTAGGAATGCATCCTGACTTACCTTCTTTAAAGGTGTTTCTCACCATGACTTCCTACTTAAGCCAGCATGTTAAGTGAGCTAAAAGTCACACGGCGCAGCATTTCTTCCACCAGCTAATATCACACATGTCCAATGAAAGTTCAGGTATATTTCTTTGATCTAAATCCATTTGTACAACCTGCCTCCTGCTGTACTGCTTGAGACACTCCTGAAGCTTTCTCCTCCAGGCAAAAAATGCTGTATGAAACAAGGATGTAAATATAGACATCAAACTACATTTTCTGCTGATATTAATCAGCATAATTCCACCCAAGTCATTATACTTTTGCCAGCTTACACCAACACAAAATATGACCCCGCATTTCTTTTCAGCCTGTCACTAGTTAATCAGTTTGAATGACCATCATCCTATTCATATTTGCTAAAGTTCAGTCACCACTTCGCAACATTGCTTGAATGCTGATTTTTGGGTACCACAGTTAGCAATATATCTATTTCTTTCATTATTCTTTGCAAACATCAAAAAGAGAGAATAGAAATGATTTACTAGTGAAGCATATTAACATTTAAAACCAATGACCAATTAGGGATTTGAAAATGTCTGAATAGACCCACTATTCAAAATGCCATCTGGTCTCCTGATTATTCCTTCCATGTACTTCCTCATGACAACTACACAAAGGAAGATTAGGACAAAAAAATTCTTCAAAAGAAGATCATTTTTACTGTACTTAGCTGCTGTCAGTGTTGGGCAGCGTAAGCAATCAGTTGCCGAACAAAAATGCCTAAAGTAAGGTTACTGAATTGAACTTTTCTTCCTTGGCTTTCTTTTTACTCTCTTTCCAACCAACATCTATTGACTTGCAGTGCAAAGCGGCAAACGTACACCTAAAGCTGTACTCTAAATTCACCCCTATTATCTTTGTGTTGACACTTCATCCTAGAAGATATATGCTGAGCTCCAGGTAGATCATTTGTAACCCTTATAATGATGATGGCAACAAATATAGCACAGTGCCCTCCAACTGACACCGAATGGATACTCAATGCTTCGCTATTTTGCAATGAATAAATTGGTTGTCAACATATGCACGGTAGCAGTTTTTTCCCCAATATAATGATCATATAGCCATGGCGTAGCAGATCTCTATGTATTATAATGATCTGCAAAGCTTGATTGAAAGATTTGGAGAATGGATTTCAAACCAAAGTTGTAGTTGCCCTGGAAAGCAGCAATATGAATTGATTTCTGAGTTGGAGAGATGCTGCACAGCAGTTTTACCTTCCATAGGGGTGACCTTCATTAAAATGCAGTTACTTTCTCAGAACAATAAAAGCTCTCTCTGATGAAGCGTGTTTTCAAGGATACCCAGATGCAATACCCACATCTGTCCATAAATTGGGCATTTGTCCTGCCAGTTGGGTGACTGAACATGCAACTGTTTAGATAGTCGATATATTTCAAGCAAAGGAGATGTGCACTGAGGTACCCAAAAGCTATTCTGCAGCAAATAAGTTTATGTAGAGATTATGAGACTTTTTCCTTCTTCTATACAAGCCCTACCTAGGGATACAATCTGTATAGTTTTATCTATAGGCAGACTGCAGCGGTGAGCATTTGCATATTAGACTAGGATGCTCTGAAGACTGCAGGAAAGTAGATAATCTGCATGGAAGAGCAGCTGTGACCAACATCCAGGTCCTCTCTAGGTACCAGTGCCAGGACAGCCCCCAGTCAAATGCTATGAGGCAATGGTGCTGAAGCTTTCAGGGTGCCCAGCTCAGCCACCACTCAGTGCCATGCCATGTTTGACCAATAAGCTCAGTGGAAAATTTTCACTAAAAAAAAAGTAGGGCTTTTAAAAACTAAAATTTTCATTAATGGTTCCTGCTTCTCTAATGTCTTTTTGCATTTTTCCCAGATAGCCAATCACAATTCAAGTTTTTGTTTTTTTTTCTTAACTAATGTCGGAACACTCAATGTCAATTTTCAATTTTACTTTTTCAGCAAAATATCACATATTTGTGGCAAAAAAAAAAAAAAAAAAAAAAAAAAAAAGGGGGGGGGGGGGGAACAGGACACCACTAATGAGTTCTGTTTCCGTCCTTGGCAGACAGCAGGAAATTGCCCACGACTCTCTAGCAATGCCTTCAGTGTTAAAAAAAACTCCTTCATCCCAGTCCTCTGCTAACCAGAATTAGTAGAACAGAGAAGCAAGTAGCCCTTTATTGATGTTAACAATCTTCATTATGAATTTATATTATGACTACTTTAAAAATTCACAGAAAGCATTATATTTTGAACACCAAAGACATAAAAATACTATTGGTGGGCTGATAATTATAAATTATGTATTAAATTTAAGATTAATCCCTGTGAAAAAGGCATGATTGTTTGAATTGGGGATTTGTCCCACAGACATGTTTGCAAAGAAAAACAGCAATTGAATTATTGTCCCATTCATCTCATCCACTGTTAAGGGAAAGAAAGTGCTTTAACTTCTTTTTTCATTTTGCTGAACTCTGGGCATTTTTAACCCCTTCCTGCACCCCAGCATGTGTGTGTACACATGCGCACACACACAATTTTAGCACTGAAAGTGAGCACGTTCCCTTACTGCTTTGTTTACCTTTTTCTACT